TGGTGGACAAGCCTGAATACAATATTCCAGGTGGGGTCGGACGAATGCCGAAAATAGCTTCACAAACAACTTGGCTGTTAAGATTCCGAAAGAGCGGCGGTTAAACCACTTCATACGAAACCCTCGAAAAGCAGCCTTCTTCCAAGTTGTCTCCAGAATGAAGTGCTGATGCGTGTACGACTACTAAATCAACCTGCTGAGTGACAACAGGGAGTTCACTACCGCTGAGAACATATCGGGTGGGAGGATTAGCAGCTCCGATTCGGAGAACAGAGCACTTGGCCCTATTTATGGGCATATACCATAAGATAGACCATTCCCAGAGCCTATCCAAGGCACGCTGAATTGCCTCAGGACCCCCCCCCGGGATATCCACAATATTCCAGAGCTTAAGGTCGTCAGCAAACATTAGTGATGACACCTCTAGCTCTCCCGGCAAGTCATTTACATAGATCGCGAACAACAATGGCTCTAATACCGAGCCCTGCGGAACGCCACTAAGGACAGCTTGCCTGAGCGAAAGACTACGCCCCACCCGTATGCACTGTTCCCTCTCCTCAAGGAATGCAGACACCCATTGAATGGCGCGACCAGATATCCCGTAAGATCTCAATTTTAGTGAGCCGAAGATGTGGAACAGTGTCAAAAGCCTTTGAAAAATTCACGAATAGCACGTCTACAGCGTGGCCACTGTCTACCGCTTCGGCCCAGCTTTCACGAGCTACACGTACATTAGTCTGACATGAAAATCCCTTGCGGAATCCATGTTGCGCAACACTGAGAAGATTGAATCTATTCAGGTGGTTCTCCACTGAATCCCTTATCAGCTTTTCAAACAACTTGACTACTACACTTGTCAAACTGAAAGGCCGGTAGTACGCAGGCGGAGCGCTGTCACCGCTCTTAAAAATCGGACAGATGATTGCCTCCTTCCATTCCGAAGGTAGGCTGCAGCTGTCCAGCGATATTGAAAACACGCATGTGAGCGGACCACTCAGCTCAGTGGCCAGTTCATGCAACAGCTTCGGATGAATTCAATCAGGACCGGAAGCTTTAGAGGGATTAATGCCTTGCATTAGCTCGAAGACCTGAGTCTCCGTTATGCTAAATTCAGCTAAGCAAGAATCCTCTGGAATTCTTGAAACCAATTCAACCTGTGGTAAAGAGGTCTCCCGAGCAAAGACCGCAGTATACTGATCACTCAGTATACAAGCCTTGTCATAGTCAGTTTGCGCATGGGTCCCGTCTGCTCGCAATAAAGCTGGTATACACAGTTTTGCCCCGCTGCGTCTTTTAACGTAAACAAAAAACTTCTTGGGATTAGCTGCGTCCGAGTCCGCTAAACCCTGCTCGTATTGGAGACGTGCAGTTCTGAGATGTTGCTTACATTTATTTCTATTCTCTCGATAACTATCATAGCTACTGGCTGATGGAGCTGCTTGGTAGGTTCGCCAGCATCTAGACCGTTTCTTGAGTAGGTACTTGCCTGTGGTATCTATCCATGGAGGCTGTGCCCTTAACACGCTTTTCCTAATGAGTGGAATATAGTGTGCGGAAACCTCCGTAAGGTATGCCTTAAATTTATCCCAGGCTAACTGGACAGAGTCAGCCATCGAAATCTCACAGTTCAGAACTGAAGTCTTAGTTCGCATTGCACTAAAGTCCGCCCGCCAAATATTCGGAAGTAATTTAACAGCGGTCTCTTGGTGCCCAGAAAGACCACATCGAAAGGATATGCATGCGTGATCGCTGGACCCTAGAGGTGCACCGCATGAAACGTCAGTCACGAAATCAAGGGACAGCGAAAACCAAATCCAAAGTAGATGGCATTTGGTTGTCCATATACCTAGTGGGAAAGTCAACGAACTGGTGCAAAGGCACTTGGAGAGTCAGTTCAAGAAAGTCTGCACCGAATGTTCCTAATGCCGAATTGCAAGAAAGATCGGCCAACAAACTTCCGGGAGGTTGAAATCCCCTAGGACTAAACACTTATTCGCAGACTGAGAGCGAATAAAGTCAAGTATCCCCCTGGAGGAACTTCCAGAACTTCTGTATACCACTATAACTGTAAACTGGGTAGAGGAAGTGCACAAAACAGCCGATAGGGCTTCAACAGTCTGATCCGACGACTGGAATGTGCAAGTCCTCAACACATCTAAGTTACAGCTCACATACAGTGCAACGCCTCCGCCTTGGCGACCAACGGAGCGATCAGTTCTAAGCAGCGCGTAGCCAGGTAAATATACCTCACCGTCCGTGATATCCGGAGACAACCACGTCTCAGTGAAAGCAAGTATGTCAGGACGAGATTTGTCTACAAGTAGACCCAACTCGTGCACCTTGTTCCTTAGGCTACGCACGTTGCTAAGTACTACCTCAAGGAAGTCGGCACGACCATCCCTGAGTCGTGCGCCATCAGGATGGGTTCTGATAGGGCGGAAAATAACTTCCGGCTGACCACCTGAAAACCCACCAGACGGAGGCCTTGTTCACCAGCCGCCCGTCTAGTTTTGAGGTCTTTGATAGCCTCCTTTAACTTCAACCTATCTGCCAGTTGGAGGTCCGGCTGAACGCTGACACCACTACCCTTAAGTTTTAATGCAAACCACAGTAACGATTTGCGTTCATCCGGGGTAGAAATGACTACGCGAAGTAGTCGGGGTCGTGGATTTGGCGTAGCGATAGGAACGTTCCCCAATCTGGTCAGCTTTCTGACAGTGACACCAGGGAAACCAGGTGAAAGTAGCTTGCTGACACACAGTTTTAGCCACTTGATGTCATCCAAGATGCGTTCCCTTGGGAGAACAGCCTGCTTATTGATGTTGTGTGGTGTATAATGGAGAGTTTCAGGAGCATTTATGGTACGTGGTAAGATTAAAGTTTGTAGATCTTAACACTGTTGTTGTTCAAGTAGCTAACGAAGTGCAGTTATGAGCCGCGGCGCGTCGTTGGAAGCTGCCATCATGGTGGACGATCTTCCTTCGTTTAATCGTTTGGTGAAATTACATATTCGCGAACATTTGCGGACATGGAAGAGGATGTAAAGAAATTTCAGCAGGCTACTGCGACGGCCTTTTATAAGCTGTCAGTGGTTACTCGAACTCAGTACAAAATTTACTTAACTTTACCTTGTAGTGTTTATAAATTCTTCACATTTTTCCTTGTAACTTCCTATTCTATCTTCCGTCAATTTTTGTACATTTGTTTTAACTCACAACAAGATATATACTCTTCTTCGAATTTCGTTCGTCTTCTGGTGTCGGTGACGTTGTGCCGCCTTCGAGTGTTGTGCGTGTGCTTCGCATCGGTTGTCGGATCTCTATTTACGATCAGCGTTCGATTACTCCGTTCGTGTCATCGGACAGGTTTGCTGATTTTCACCTTTTGTAACCTGACCGTGAGCAATCGTGCTAAGGTCCTATTCGCAGCGGTTCTAACTCTCTGTCAGACACTATATTTGGTGACCCCGCCTATTTAATTTTTTTGATTACTTTTCTCTTTTTTTCCTTATGTCTGACTACGCTGCTCCCCGTGAACCGTGTGAAAACTCAATTGGCTTTTCGTTACCCACCTTTGATGTTTCAAACCCTCGTGTTTGGTTTATTCAGGTGGAGGCCATCTTCCGATTTCGAAAGATCACTTCGCAATCATCGATGTTTTCATACGTCACCGCTCATCTTCCTTCACAGATAGCCTCGGAGGTGATCGATATTCTTGATCCGATGCCGACTGATTCGCCGTATGACAAGCTCAAATCAGCCATTCTAAAACGCACTACGGCTTCCGATGAAGCACGTCTACACATGCTACTTTCAGGCATAGAGCTTGGAGACCGCAGCCCGTCTCAACTCCTCCGGCACATGCGTTCACTTGTGGGTTCCTCGACCCTGGACGATTCCATCCTCAGACAGATCTGGACTAAGTGCCTTCCAACAAACACCACGGCAATTTTAGCAGTCCTTGCTGATGAGCTTCCGTTGGACAAACTAGCCGAAGCGGCTGACAAAGTCCATGAACGCTTCTTTAAAACTGCTGTGAATAATGTGACTGGACCGAGCTCCACTAGTCCATCTGGAAGTACCGCACTTGAGGATATTAGTGAACGACTCTCTCGGTTAGAACTCGCTGTGTCTCACATCGGTCGTGAACGACCTGCTAACCGTAGATTCAACTCAAGGAGTGGCCGCCGTAGTCAATCCCGCACCAGCCGATCGCGATCATACTGCTACTACCACCGCCGTTTCGGCGATGCTGCTCGTAATTGTCGTCCAGGTTGTAAATACCCGAAGACGTTTTTGGATTCTCGGCAGGGAAACGACAACGCCAGCCAGTGATGGCGACAGCTGCTGCTGGCCAAACCATTAGTCGCCTCTTGTACGTTTTCGATTCCACCACCAAACTTCATTTTTTGGTTGATACTGGCGCAGAGGTGAGCGTTATACCTCGATCCTTAGAAAAACGTGCTCTGCGACCATCCGGAATTACCTTACAGGCAGCTAACCAAACCAAGATCGCGACGTATGGCCAGAGACTGCTGACACTTAATCTTGGTTTGCGACGTAATTTCACCTTCATCTTCCTGATTGCCGATGTACAGAAGCCCATCATTGGTATTGACTTCCTCACCAAATTCGGCCTGGTCGTAGACCTGCGATGTGGCAAGCTACGAGATGATACTACATCATTAACTGTTTCCGGACAGCTCGCTACGGTTAATTCCATTAAGCTTCATGTACTTCTGCCTAAAGAGTCACGCTACTCATCACTGCTGCAACAATTTCCCTCCCTCCTTAGAGCAGATGACGGCACTCTAGAGCCCAAGCACGATATCTGTCACCATATCGTCACAACCGGTCCTCCTGTGTCTGCCAAGCCAAGACGCCTTCCACCGGACAAACTACAAGCGGCCAAGAGAGTGTTCGAACACATGCTTAACCTCGGGATCATACGCCCTTCCAAAAGCTGCTGGGCATCTCCGCTTCATTTGGTGCCCAAGAAGACCAGCGATTGGAGACCATGTGGCGACTACCGTGCGCTCAACAATGTCACTGTTCCCGATAGATACCCAATTTCCCATATCCATGATTTTTCTAGCAACTTGCACGGAAAATCTGTTTTCTCTACAATCGACCTAGTTCGTGCATACCATCACATTCCTGTCGCTCCTGACGACATTCCAAAGACCGCCATTACTACCCCCTTCGGTCTCTATGAATTCGTCCGTATGCCCTTCGGATTGCGAAACGCTGCCCAAACCTTTCAGCGATTCATTGACCAAGTCCTAAGAGGGTTAGACTTTGTCTTCGCCTACATCGACGACATTCTCGTCGCCAGTTCGAACGATGAGGAACACCTGTCACATCTCCGTCTGATCTTCGAGCGTTTTGCTCAGTATGGCGTGACGATTAATGTTGATAAATGTATTTTCGGCCAATCCTGTGTCGATTTTCTCGGTCACCGAATCGACCACAATGGTATTCGCCCACTTCCCGAAAAGACGCAGGCAATCGCGGATTACCCAATGCCTCAGTCCTTCAAAAATTTGCGTCGTTTCCTCGGGATGGTCAACTATTACAATCGTTTCATTCCAGATTGTTCCCGGCTACTTCAGCCCCTGACAGATTTACTAAAAGGCAAGTCCCGAAAGTTTGAGCCGACAGCAGAAGCTATTGTGGCATTCGATAAGATCAAGCAGGCGTTATCCAACGCCACCGCGCTTAGCCACATGAAAACCGATGTTGATGCACCTCTCGTTCTCAGGACTGATGCATCACAAACTGCCGTTGGCGCCGTTTTACAGCAGATAATCAACAACCAACCTCAACCTTTGTCTTTTTTCTCCAAAAAGCTTCAGCCTGCTCAAACTCGATACAGCACATTCGGACGCGAACTTCTGGCTATTTACCTTGCCATTAAGCACTTCCGACATCTACTTGAAGGACGTACCTTCACTATCCTAACGGATCACAAACCGCTAGCTTTTGCCTTCCGCGGTTCCTCCGATCGATTTTCACCTCGTGAGACCCGTCATCTAGACTACATATCACAATTCACGACAGACATTCGTCATGTTGATGCCACTAACAACGCTGTTGCTGACGCTATGTCTCGTATCGATCTCCATCATTTCTCACGCCAAACTATTAACCTCGAGGATATTGCGGCTCACCAAGAAGACGATCCTGAGTTCGCAGACTTGAAGACAAACGCTTCCTTGAAATTCTCTCAACTGCCTATTGTTAATTCCGATTCCAAAGTCTATTGTGATCTGTCGACTGGAAAGCCCAGACCTTTTGTTCCGCAACAGTTCCGCAGACTTATTTTCGACCACCTGCATGGCCTTTCCCACCCTGGCATTCGAGCCACGGTCAAGTTAATCACTGACCGCTACATATGGCACAATATGCGTTCCGACATCCAAAAATGGGCGAAGCATTGTGTCACTTGTCAGACTAGCAAGATACATCGGCACACGATCACCGTACCTGGCACATTTGCGTTACCCGACGCTAGATTTAAACATGTGCACCTTGATCTCGTTGGACCACTTCCTCCATCCAACGGTTTCCAGTACTTACTGACCTGTGTCGACCGTTTCACACGATGGCCTCATGCAGTACCTTTACGAGATATTTCCACCGAAACTGTTTCGCGGACCTTCGTTGAAACCTGGATATCTGTGTTTGGCACCCCAGCTACGATCACAACAGACAGAGGTCCTCAGTTCAATTCCGCTCTCTTTCGAGACCTCAATCGTTTACTCGGCTGTTGTCATCTGCGAACAACCGCCTACCATCCAGCCGCTAACGGTCTTGTTGAACGTTTTCATCGTCAACTGAAAGCCGCAATTACCGCATCACAATCGAGTACGCACTGGTCCGAACAGCTACCAGTTATCCTTCTCGGCATTCGCAACACGGTCAAAGAAGACCTAGGTTGTTGCCCCGCTGAACTGGTTTTCGGCACAACTCTCAGGCTTCCCGGTGAGATGGTGTTAGATTCCAGAATCACTGGCGAACTAGACCCGACTTCCTATGTGGTACGATTGCGACAACATTTTTCTTCAGTCCGGCCAACACCGCCCAGATTCAGCCCTCGGAATCAGCAAGTCCACTCTGATTTGCATACCTGCCCTTTCGTTTTTGTGCGCGTCGATGCGGTGCGTAAACCCTTGACACCACCGTATGAGGGCCCTTTCAAAGTTCTTGCTCGCAAAGAGAAATACTTCATATTGGATAGAAACGGTTCGAAGGATTCTCTGAGCCTTGATCGCTTAAAACCAGCGTACGTCGAAACTAAAACACCACAACAAGCCACAGAACAGACGTTTCCTAGTACCCCTCCTACCCAGCCAATGTGTGAACCCTGTGTGCCCCCTCTACACCCTCCACTAAACCAGTGAGTGAACCATATGCACCAAAGCACACACGCTCTGGACGCGCTGTTGTTTTGCCTTCCAAACTAATTGCTACCAACAACGCACAACTTTCGAGCGTTCGTTCTCCCGACTCACGCTCTAGGAGGGGAGCCCTGTAGTGTTTATAAATTCTTCACATTTTCCTTGTAACTTCCTATTCTATCTTCCGTCAATTTTTGTACATTTGTTTTAACTCACAACAAGATATATACTCTTCTTCGAATTTCGTTCGTCTTCTGGTGTCGGTGACGTTGTGCCGCCTTCGAGTGTTGTGCGTGTGCTTCGCATCGGTTGTCGGATCTCTATTTACGATCAGCGTTCGATTACTCCGTTCGTGTCATCGGACAGGTTTGCTGATTTTCACCTTTTGTAACCTGACCGTGAGCAATCGTGCTAAGGTCCTATTCGCAGCGGTTCTAACTCTCTGTCAGACACTATAACCTCCCTATAAATATACTAAGTGCATTCCATTTTATTATTGAAACCTCTTTAATTATTTTTTAACGCTCGCCATTGCCAAATTGATACATGCTGTTCCATTTAACCTCGGCCCGTAACCAAAATTCCGCCCTTGGTAAGAGCCCAGCTCCCTACTCATCAAACGATGACCCCATAGGTCAATCCCTCTCGGTATTTAGCGAGACAGCCACGTACATGTGGAAAACAGAGTAGAATTACAACATGTGTGCAAAAGTAAAACGACTGCAATAAAAATGCAAAGACAGGGTGCAAAACGGGATCAAAACTGTGATCAACCGGAAAAATTACCAGTAAGCGCCACAGACGCTTTGGCCAGTACCAATTTAATCGATCCAAGATAACTTGGATCAGAGAAAAATTGACAATGGTCTAGTTTCGTTTCTAGTGTTTATTCAAGCACGGTTTTCCACGTTGTTTCAGTAAAAAAGCTCGATCGGTATGGCACGCCAAAAAAACTAGTTACTTCTTAGTACTCACAGAACTACTACTTTGATCGACCTAGTAAATCTTGGCTCAAAAGGAATTTAACAACACGCAAATATCGTTTTAAGTGGTTGTTCAAACACTGTTTTTTCCGTTATTTCGGCTACAAAGTTTGATCAGTACCCCACTCAGCACAATTGCACGACAACTTGCCCTGTGAGTACTACGCGGTAACTAGATGTTACGGCGTGCCATACCGATCAAGATTGTTAGCTGTAATAAGGCGAAAACAGTGTTGGCATAAACACGAAACAAAAATTTGACCATTGTCAAATTTCCTCTGATCCAAGTTGGATCGATTAAAGTGGTGCTGGTCAAAGCGTTCGTAGAGTTGATATAGTTGTAGAGAGCAGAAGGGAAATTCCGTGTCAGCTCCATCACCTCCACTTCATTAGCTGGAGGACATGTGGTTGCTAATTGTGCTCCCCGAGGACTTATTACTGCTGCAGCAAAACCAGCGGAAGCCAGGCATGCTCATCATGTACTTGTCTAATCGGGCTATAAAACCTTGCTTTGTACGGGCACATAGCACACATTCAGGGAGATTGTTCCACTCATACATAACCCGTGTGGGTACTGCGACATCAGACCGGATATGGTTTATCCGAGGTTTAAAACTTTTTATTCTGTGCCACTGTGTTGAATAATCTGTGTTGAACTGGAAGCACTGTTGCACCTTTTTCCCCATATCGCCCTTAATGTGCGTCTACTATAATTCAGATCATCACAACGACGGCTGTAGTGCAGAGTAATAAGTTCATACATTGGAAACGAAGGGGATAAGATAAAACACGTAGCGTGGACACAAACTTTGGTCCTCGCCTCTGAAACATCTCAATCGACTCACGTTCAAATTTCGTGAGTAGGTATATGGCAGGTAGTACTTATTCCACTATTAGATGAACGGGGAAAATGGAGCCTGAAGTTCTGCTGTATCAATTTGTACGACGACCTTCGTATGGCACAGAGCGTCCTGTTTGCAGATTCTACCTTCTGCAACGGGCCTTGAGTGGTGCTTAGTTCTGGAGAAACAAGTACACCCAACTTCAGCTCAACAACCACCTTCTTCATCAGAAAAACACCAATGTGGTTAGCACCGAAAGGTTCTTGCTCGCCGATCAGGAGAACACAGCACTTGGTACGACTGATAGACATCTGCCACTTGACAGACCGATCGGGCAGCAGATCGTGCGTCAGTTACCAATTGTCAGCATCTTCATGCCTAGATACTTCTGACCACAGTTTAAGCCCATCCGTCTAGCTCAAGCGGTCGCTTTAGAGCACCTCCGGGAGATGGTTGATAAAGATTTTGAATTATTCGGGCCCAAGCACGGGCCTTGTGTAACCCCGCTGGTCCTAGGAACAGGCCAGGAGTCAACTTTATTAACATTCACCCTCATACTATGGCCATCTAGGAAATCAGCGATCCAAACTAGCAAAGTACCAGCGATGCCAATCTGCCGAAGCTTGATAAGGAGTCGCTTGTGTGGAACCATATCAACCGCTTTGCTAAAACCCACGAAAACTACATCAATGCGGTAACCAGCATGCACTTTTCTCGGGCAACAAGTAGTTTGGTAATGCAAGCGCATGCCCTCGGAAATCCGTGCTGAGCAGGAGCAATGACGTCCAATTTCTTAAAGTGAAGATGCAAAACCAGTATCAAAATCCATTCCCATGGTTTTACAGAGGATTGATGACAGACAAATCCGTCGGTAGTTCACTGGATCTTCGCGATTCCTACCTTTGTTCGTCGGTTGCACAACATGTGCTTTCCATCTAATTGGGTGACGACCTGCTTCAAGTGAGCTCCGAAAGCTTTGACAAATAGGTGACAAATAGCTGAACTCCGCCACCTCCTCGAGGAACATGGGATGTAAACCATATGGATCCAGTGAAGAATTCGAGATATAGTCGAGAAGCAGTTCTAGTACTCTGTCAGTGGTAAATTTGACATGCTCTAAAGGAGAGGGTTGACTGGGAGAATCCGCAACAACTAATGGCATCTCCGTCGTATGCACAGAGGATTAGTTCGAAGCTGGTAGATAAGGTTTCGCCATGTCACCATGAAGCACGGTGTCATCTTTGCTTGAATACAGTGCTGGTATTCCGTTGCCAACTTTTGTGTTCTTTTATGAGCATGCGAAATCCTTTCTCGGCTTATTCGCAGATGGCTCGGCCTGATGCAAGATTTTGCAACACGGTCGCTCCTTTATCTTTGCTGACGATGTAAGAGTTGTCTACGACTTTCCCCGTGGTAATGAATTTTCCGCAATTAATAGTAGCCGTGAGGATCTTAAAGCACTTGAAAAGTGGTGAGAACACTGGCAAATGACCTCCGCTCAAAAATCTAACGTCATGACCCACAGCTTCTCTATACCTGCTGGGTCCCTAACAATAAACGGTATCACTGTCAAACAGAATATCATAACAACAGATCTGGGCTTGCGCTACTCTATGAGCCTCAACTTTGCAGAGCAAGTGCATTATCAAGTCGCAAGGGTAAGAGGGTTATCGTTCCACATACGCCGTTGCATAGAAACCGCCGATGCAAGGCTAAAACTGTATAAGAGTCACGTCAGGCCACATCTAGAATATTACTCTTTTATATGCAGCAATCTACGTAAGTCGGACCGTGTTCTGCTTGAGAAAGCTCAGCGACGCTTTACGAAGATGTTGACTCCACCGCAGCAAGCGCTGAATTACCGACAAAGGTGTGAACACCTTAAAATTCAGCCCCTATGGCAAAGGCGCATTATCCTTAACATATGCTTCTTACACAAGCTAATTCATGGAAAGTTGCACAGTAATATCACTTGTCTTAAACTAAGGAGCGCGTCTGATTCGAGACTCCGAAACAGGGGCCATTCCATTACTCCGCTAAAGGCAAAGAAGAGACTGCGGTCTCGTTTCTTCTTAGTTGTCTGCGTGAACATATGGAACCGGTTGCCTCCCAGAATAAGGGAAATCCAAAATTTGCAGGTCTTCAGGAAGGAGATACAAAAATTCCCATGTTTTGGCAATCTACAAAGCATCTTCCATATCTGCGATTCGCAAGACCACTTCTTTGAAACTGGCCCTGCTATAGCTTGAGGACGCCCACGATGTAGTGCAAGACATCTAAGCACCTTCAGCTCAAAACTCATCCACATTCATTGTGATTACCGTTCTAGCACCTAAGAGACTTTAACGGTATCCGTCGCACCCATTTTCCAGGGTTTAAGAATAGCAAACTGAATACAAGATGATCTTATTCTTCACCGACCTCTTCCTTCAATCCTTATTTCTTATCTACATCTTCATCCCTTCTCTTCAGACTTCTATCAATTTTCAACTTCTTGACCACTGGATCCGTGGAAAAAGTATTAGGCTTATGACCTCTATGGTACCCCTAGTAAAGGCATGCTACCAGACCTAAGCGTCGCATAGAATGTTGAAAACGTTTTCTGCTGCGGATGCACCTAAGCGTAGCATTAGAATTGTCCAAACTCGTCTAAATACCGGCTTTAAATGAACCTTTATGTGTCTTCCTAGATGTCGGTTGCCAGCGGGCCCTAATTGAAGTTTTTTTTCATTAAGTCTGAGAACTAGTTACTATACTCAGCAGTTTCCAAAAACTATCAGTAGGTACACCGCAAAATAAAACATATATCTTTCTTATTGTTGACAAAGAGCGCACTTTAAAAGTTCTAGGCCCAAGAATCAGACATTTTGCTCTCCATTTACTCTCTCTTGACCCCATATACGTAGCTTTATCTGGTATACATGTGCCTTTCGCTATTGGCAACACTAGTAGACAGGCATAATGAAAATCAGATCCTCTTCTTTAACTGCTTTTGCTCGCAAAACACTCGCATTTTCAGATTTCATTTCCCTGGCACGAAAGCTAACCAATGACAGAGAGGCCCCTGCCACACTGGCTGGCTGGAGCACCAGAAACTTTCCATCACCACTTTTCTTCTCTTGGCCGCCCGTGTGTCATTTATCTTTTAGCTGACTCCAAAGCCTACATTGCGCTATGCGTAATGGCGGGTGAACGACCAGCTTCCACTGGTTTTTGTTACTATTCTACTCCTGATTTACCTTATCGCTCTTTGCCTAGCGTGCTAGAACAGCTCTTGCCAGGAAAATCACAAAAGAAATAGTCGGTGTGACATTAGAGTACCAGTTAACATTGCCATCTGGATGAACACCGCCGGCACTATATTCGGAACTTAAAAATGGAGCGAAATAAATCGAAATTCATCAAAGAGCTGCACAATAGTGTGCATCTACACATGAGGCATAACAATACCTCAAGTATAAGCAAGCTCAACCACCAGAAGTAGAGTTGTTAAAGCCCAACCAATGTAGACCAAAACGGATTTCACGCCCAAATGCAATTAGCTAAATTTTACTAAATTTTCCCATGCTCATTTCTTTATTATTAGTGACAGGCTACTATAGCTCACTGATGTTAGAGACAGAGCCTCATTA